GGCTTTTTTTAGTAGTATTTGAGTACTTTTTGTAATTTTTAATAAGAATATAGACTGCAGAGTCCAATGTGTCTTTAGTGACCTACAGATACTAGTTAAGTGCTTCTCAACCCAGGGAAGTTATGCCCTCCAGGAGACACTTGGCAATGTTTGGAAACTTGTGGTTGTCAGAACTGGGCAAGGGGAGAGGGAAATTGTTACTGGCGTTTGGTGGGTAGAGGTCAGGGATTGCTAAACATTTTACAGTGCACAGGACAGCCCCCTGCAGCTGCAGTTAATCTGACCCCTGAGAGCTGTGATTGGATTCTGTTGTTAGTCCTCTGATGATGATACGGAAGGTGTACCTACCATGGGTGGCTTCTCTTTACAGTGGATCAAGTGTCCATGGTCATGGCTTCTGAAGAGGGCACCTGGGAAAAATAAAAAAAGGAACTTCTCAGTGATTAGGTTTGGGGAGTTCAGTGGTGGACGTTTTGATGTTCGGTGTCAGCTGGCTTTCTAATATTCTTGCAGGCAGGGAATAAAGCTTAAAATAACACTTTAACCTTTTGTTGTTGTTACATGCTATGGAGTTGGACCCGGCTCATAGCGACCCCTCCTTGGGTTTCTGAGGCAGTATCACTATGGAAGTAGATTGCTCCATCTTCCTTCTGAGGTGGCTTTGAACTGCCGGCCTTCTGGTTAGCAGTCAAGTACTTTAACCACTATGCTCCCAGAGCTCCCCTTTAACCTTTTAGATAATGTGATTTTATTTTGAGTGCATCTTACTGATTAAAGTTGTGCTTTGTTTGTTATAATACAACTCCAGAAGTTGCACCTATTTATTTAACAATATTTACATGGTAAAGGCCAGTTTACTTTTTTTTGGTATGATGTGCTACCTGAGTTCATATTGGACTTGAAAGGTTGCCCAAAAATCTTACCTGTTTGAAATGCGTTTGCAAGGGATTATATTACAAAAAATCGACATTTTTTTTCTATTAAATTTTACAATGTGACTTGTCCTTTTTTATTATTATTTAAAAGTATTTTATTTTAAAAGATACTGTACCTTCTTTCACATTTGTTATTGTTGTTGTTAGGTACCATTAAGTCAGTTCTGACTGATAACAGTGCTATATACAACAGAATGAAAAATTGTTCTTTCCTCTGCTGTCTTCAAAATCGTTATTTTGAGGCTGTTGCCACAGCCACTGTGTCAGTCCATCCTCTTTTTTTGTGTCCATTTCTCTGTGTTACCTCCTGTATAATATATCCAAAGTACGTGAGATAAGCTCTCACTGTCCTCTCCTCTAGGGAACATTCTGGCTTTACTTCTTCCGAGGAAGATTTCTTCATTCTTTGGGCAGTCCGTGGTGTAGTCAGTATTCATTGCCCACACTGTGATTCAGAGGCATCAGTTCTTCAGTCTTCTTACTCAGTATCCAGTTTCTGCAGGCATATGAGGCGATTGAAAATACCTGGCTTGGGTCAGGCATATCTTAGTCCTAAAAGTGACATCTTTGCTTTTTAATACTTTAAAGAGGTGTTTTATAGCAGATTTGCCCAATGAAATGGCATCATTTGATTTTTTGACTGCTGTTTCCACAGAAGGAAGGTTGGCCAATCTACTTCAGTAGTGATACTGCCTCGGAATCCCAAGGAGGGGTTATGATCAGATCCGACTTGATGGCAGTGGGTTAGTGGTTAGTTAGTAGTTTCCATGGGTGTAGAAAGTGGATCCAAGTAAAATGAAATCCTTGACAGCTTCGTCTTTTCTCCATTTATCATGATGCTGCTTATTGGTCTAGTTATAAGGACTTTTGTTTTCTTTATGTTGAGGTGTAATCCATACTGAAGGCTGAATGTAGTCTTCAATCTTCATCATAAGTGCTTTAAGTCTTACTCTTTGTTTTCAGCAAGCAAAGTTGTGTCATCTGCATATTTCAAGTTGTTAATTAGTCTTCTTGAAATCCTGATGCATTCTTCCTCATACGGTCCAGCTTCTCAGATTGAATTCAACATATAATAACTTAAAATTATGAGTTATATCTTTGAAAAATAATCTAAGGAATCATGGGTTTTGATGCATATAACAGATTCTACATGTTAATATAGTTGTTACAATTTACTCTTGAGTTGATTCCAACTCATGGCAATCCCATTTCAACTCATGGTAACCAACCACATGTGGGCAGAGTAGAAGTGCACTCCAACTTGACCTCTTTAAAAAGAAATATGTAAGATTTATGCATAAGAGGCGAGGTTTAAGTTAAACCACTTCCTTTTTATTTCCTTTAAAGGGTTATACATGTACAGAATACAAAGTAAGTGTTCAGGAAGAAAAGGTCACATTGCTTGATCTGTTTGGGTACCTAAAGGGTAGTGCTGATGTCTTACAAAAATTTTGTGGTTTTAGTCCAAGGAAAAGATTATCTGAATATGACTGGAATTAACTCTCTGAGTGCTGTGCTAAGAGTCTTTTTTATAGAATAAAAGAACCCTTGGGTTTCCTTGAACATCAGCTGCAGCACTAGAATAGTTATGTGGGCACGTGATCATTTCTGTTTGCATTATGTATATGTGTGTGATGTGGCATTTTGTTAGGTATCAGCAAAGGTATTGACAGTCTGATGTGGACTGAGCATCACGTACACACAGGAAAGGGGCAGTGTTATAATGGGGATAAGAAAACTGGTTGAAAGGAACTAGAATCCAAATTTTCCAAAGTTCAACAGGAGTTCTCAGGAGGCTTTGTCATCATCAGATTTAAACTAAGCGTTCTTAAGTTGACAAAGGGAGAAAGAATTGTAAGAGATGATGGTGGTTGTTATTGTTAGTTCTGTCCGGTTGGCTGCAACATGTAGCGAACAACCCTGCGTACAACAGAACAAAACATTGCCTATCCTGCACACATCATCAAAGTCATTGCTATGTGAGCCTATTTTTGCAGCTGCTGTGTCAGTTCATCTCATTGAGGATCTTCATCTTTTTTTGTTGACCCTCTGGTTTACCAAGTGTGATGTCCTCCTTCATGTGGTCCCTCCTCCTGATAACATCCAAAATAGAGAAACCAGGTCTTGCTATCCTTCCGTCTAAGGAGCATTCTGGCTGCACTTTTTCCAAAACAAATTTGTTTATTATTCTGGCACTCCATGGTATTCTTCACCAACACTATAATTCAAATATGTGGATAGTTCTCCAGCCTTCCTTATTCATTGTCCAGCTTTCATGTGCATATGGGGCTTTTGAAAACACCATGGCTCCCATCAGGCACATCTTAGTCCTCAAAGTGACATCTTTGCTTTTTAACACTTTAAAGAGGTCTTTTTGCAGCAGTGTGTTGCTTAATTTCTTGACTGCTGCCTCCATGGGTGTTGATTTTGGGTCCAAGAAGAATGAAATCCTTGACAACTTCATTCTTTTCTCCATTTATCATGATGTCACTTACTGTGAGGATTTTTGTTTTATGTTGAAATATAATCAATACTGAAGGCTGTAGTCTTTGATCTTCATCAGTAAGTACTTCAAGTCCTCTTTATTTCCCAATGTGAAAAGGTATTTTCATGTTCAATCCCCTTTGCAGAGGGGATTGGTTTACAATTCCTGGAAGCAGAAAGCTGCCATGTCCATATAGACCCTTGACCTCTGTTCCCATCAGAATGTGGTTTGCAGTGAAATGTACACTGAGCCGTGTGAGCTCCATCCTAACTGCCTCTGAAATGAACTGATAGATGGACTGTCATGAATTTGAGTGAAACTTTATGTACATGGTTGTAAAACATATCTTCTGGTTTCTTACAGGCTAAAGAACTAGTGTTTTCAAATGGTATTTTTGAATTTGTTTGCTTTTTAAAACTTACCAACTAAATGATTAACTATTTTGTACATTTTTTTTTTCTTCTCTATCTTGGGGATTATTACTTGTTTTAAATTAGAATTGATGTTTCGATTTTTAATCATCTTTTCAATAATGTTTTATCTTTGCCCTCATACTCATTTGTTGTCTACAGTTTAGTTAATGATGCTCCTCTGTAGCATTTCTGTTAAGACAATATCATTTTCCATGTGATCAGAAGCTGTGAGTGGTTGCTAGTTTGCCATATACCAACTCGAGATAAAGGTGGGGGAAAGCTTGCTCTGAAAGGGTAGGGGCAGCTGTGTGAGCTCTTTGATCAGGTTGCGGACAGCATTATGTTAGGAAGTGTTAGGGGACTATGAATAGGAATTTGTTATGAATCTGAAGACTGAAAAATACAGGCTGCCAGAAAAAAAACAAATTTAGAATTCAAACAGCAATTAAATCCCAAGGAGACTGAGCTTCTGAACCTTCAGTGTTTGTACTTCTGTTGAGAATTTTTGTTGTTATTGATATCAGATGATTTTAGTTCATTGTTCCAACTGATCAGAAATATGTTGCATTTTAATCTTATCTTCTAAAATACAGCATCACTTGGAATGCAGTTAGTGTTTCTTGAATTCCATCCTCCGAATTGTTAATGAAATGTAATTGTACTGGATCTAGAGCGGAATCCTGCAGAACTCTTAGAGAGCCATGAGGCTGACTATGAATTATTGATAATTACTGAGCATTTGATAGTAAAGCCATTGTGCATGTGTGTCTCTTGGAATTCATTGGACTGTCAGCTTTTGTTGTTCTATTTTGACAATTACAAATAATCATATCTTAACTGAATCTTAACCGAAAGGGACTCAAGTTAATACCATATTGTATTTTTTGAACATGTTTTGTACAAATAACCAGACTTTTGCCATATCTGTATTACTTGTATAGAACTGAATTCAGTGCTATTATGTCTAATTTTTCTTTGACATCAATGTTGTTAACTTCTCTAGACCATGCTCTCTGTAGCTGAAGCTTGATAGTTGGAGGTTTGAAGTGATAATTGCATAGAAAGATACGGTTTGCAGTGATTGTATTAATAATTGTCTCCTTCAGGAATTTAGGATAATAGTGAATGACAGAAAGAAAGAATGAATGAATAAATACTGTGTTTCAGGGAAGAAAAAATCCCAGGAAAATAAAAACAAAGGAAATAAAACTGAAGACATAAAGCTGAAGACAAGTAAGCCAGATTCCACTCCTGCAAATATGAGAGATTCTACAGAAGGTAAGGCAGGGGCAGAGGGGCTCCTGGACTTGTAGGGTTTGGGTATGTGTCACCAGGTAACTTAACTTTGTATTTCCTTGTATGGGCCTTCTAAAGGTTTAACAACAGTATAACTGCCTAAGCTTAATATGGTAAATTAAGCCATCCCAATTGCATCTACCCTTTAAAAAATTACTAAAAACTTTTCTTATTAAAATTGAAAGTATTCTCTTTTTAAAATAAAATGAAACTTACTGTATATTGCATTTGTAAATAATACAAAGTTTGAAACAGTTGAAACAAATCTGTAGTTCCAGAAGTTGGACCTAAGGAGCTTTGGTAGCATAGTGGTTAAAGCATTTGGCTGCTAACCAAAAGGTTGGTGGTTCGAACCCACCAGCTGGTCTATGGAAGAAAGATGTGGCACACTGCTTCCATAAATATTTACAACCTTAGAAACTCAGTGAGGGTCACTGTGAGCTGGAATCGACTTGATGGCAGTGAGGGTTTTTTTTTTTGTGAAAAGTCAGACTTGTGTGACACAGGGAAGGTTTCTAGGATTCGGGTGTATTCTATAGAGATTTTATCTCACTATATACGCTTATCATTTATACATTGTAATATATGTATGCTTTGTTGTAGTTGTGTGCTGTCGAGTCAGTTCCAACTCATAGCTACCGTATTTGACAAGTAGAATTGCTCCATGGGGTTTTCTAGGCTATAATCTTTATGGGAGCAGATCACCAGGCCTTTTTCTCTTGTGGAGCCACTGGGTGGGTTAGAACTGCCAATGTGTCAGTTATCAGCTGAACAGTTAATCACTGTGTATCCAGAGCTCCTTATGTATGCTTTACACTTCATTCAAAAATTTACTTTGAAATATCACTTTTGATGTTATTTATCAAGAAGAAAAATATTTCTACTTTTTGTTAGAATTTAAATTGTTACTCCATCTCTTTTGTTTCTCCTCACAAATATTTTTTCTTTACAGTCCTTTCTTAGGATTAATATTCTAGGCCTTCCATGATGTAAGAAGTCACAGTCAGGCAGGAATTGAAATTTAATCAGAAACTGAGACTACTCTGTGTTCAATGCAGTTGAGCCACCATACTGAGACTATTGATACCATTATTGCTCAAGAATTCGTCATAGTGACCCAAATAAACAAATTTTAAAATACAGGCTTATGACTCTTTCAAGAAACATTTATAGAGGGGAAAAAAGGCACAAAACATATTTGTTGTTGTTAAGTGCTGTCGGGTCGTTTCCGACTCATAGCGACCCCATGCACAGCAGAACGGAAAACTGCCTGATCCCGCGCCAGCCCCACAATCCCTGCTATACTTGACCCCATCATCGCAGCCACCGTGTCAATCCATCTCGTTGAAGGCCTCCCCCTCTTTCGTTGACCCTCCACCCTACCAAGCATGACATCCTTCTCCAGGGAATGGTCCCTTCTTACAACATGACCAAAATAGGTGAGACGAAGTCT